TTACTCAGATACACAGTTAATTAAAAATGTTCAATTTTTTTAAAAAATCCAAAGTCAGCAAACTATAGCCCATAGAACAAATCTACTCCCCCACTGTTTTTGTATGCCTCATGAGCTAAGAATGACTTTCACATTTTTGAATGGCTGAAAAATATCAAAAGGATTGTATGTTGTAGCACGTAAGAATTAAATAAAACCATTCCTATTTATAAATAAAATTTTATTGGGGCACAGCTACTTTCATTCCTTCCCAGCCCATCTGTGGCTATTTTGAGGCCACGATGGCAGAGTTGACTTGATGTCACAGACACCACAGGCAGAGCTGAGGGGTCTCACCATCTGGCCCTTCACAAACACTCTTGAGGTGGTCTTTGGGCTTTGCTAAGTGGCAGAAGAGCACCCTTTAGTGCAGGGCTCTCTTTGACCCACTCTACCTGGTGGCCTGTGAATTCCGAGGCTTTCCACCCTGGCGGGTGGGGCAGGGACTATGCTAGGCCTAAGTGAGCTTGTGTTTGTTCTGCTGACCCTCTGGTACTTCTTCCCCAGGCTCACACACTGGTGGTGACAATGACTCAGCTGGTCTCCCAGGGACCCTCAGCGCCTCCCCAGGGCACCCTCCCAGCAGCTTCCTCCTTTCCAGTCTCCACCTTGCAACTCTGTCAAGGGTCCAGGCAGTAAGTGATTGTGGGGTGCCCTTGGTTTGTGTCTGCTGTTGCCTGTTGACCTGAGGTTGAATGTCCCTGGATCATTGCTGTTAAAAGGCAGGCTGGCCAGTCCTGTACTACCAGAAGCAAACTAAGCCCTGTGCTTTATTTTATCTATCATCTCTCTCTCTCTATCTATCTATCCATCTATCATCTATCATTTATTTATTTTGTGCTGCCTGAGGATGGAACCCAGGACTTCATGCATGCTAGACAAGGGTTTTACCACTGGGCTACACCCCTACCCTCTAAAGCACAATATTTTAATGAGTGTAAATTTATCTTTGTAGCAACAGTAAGGTAATATGAAAATGTAAGTTTTGTTGCTGGTAATGTTGCAGGCGCTGCTAATTCCACACACATCACTGCAGGGAAGGCTAAATTCCAGCTACAGCTAAGACGTAATCTTTTCCCCATGGCAGTATGAACCCCGCCCCCCCAAATGCTGTCCACGGTGCCCTGGGGGGACAGCTGCCCCGTGGCCCTTGTGCGTGGGTCCTAACAGTAATTTCTCTCCTGGGTGTTAACAGACTCTTTAATCTGTCCTTTCACAGCACTTATTCCCAGTGGCCGTGTGGGATAGTCCTCGCACTCTTCCATGTCCTGCACAAAATAAGTCTCAGGTTTTTCCTTTGTGGGGGACAAACATCTCACTCTTTCGGCACACTGTCCGTGGTTCAGCATCTCAGCCTGTCTTTTGCAGTTTTCTGGACTGATCACCCTATGGCACCCTTGTGAGCTGAGGAGACAAGAGAGGCCTGCAAACCCAGCCCAGGCCTCACGTGGAGCCCCATGGCCGAGTCTTCTGACCTCAGGGTCACGGGGCCCATGCATTCCAGAAGCACACAGGCTCCTCACAGCGCCGCACTTCTGCTTGTCCTCTGTGACAAAGATGATCCTTGACTTGCTTAAACTCCCCCTTTGATGTTCCTTTCTTTAGGCATAAATGTGTGTGATCTTTTTTTTTTTTTTTGCAGTACTGGAGTTTGACCTCAGGGCCTTCACCTTGGACCACTCCACCAGCCCTTTTTTTGTGAAGGGGACTCATGAACTATTTGCCCAGGGTTGGCTTCGAACCCCGATCCTCCCGATTTCTGCCTCCTCAGTAGGTACAACTACCGGCGTGATCCACCAGCGCCTGGCTGAGCGTGTGTGATCTTGGTATGTTTGGGTCCTTCTGAGCTGGCCAGGATGTTAACTCCATTATGATTTAAAAATGACAGCAGCTGACTAGAAGTGTCAACTCTGACTAGTGATCAATGCTTGTAGAAGGAATATACAGTTGGCAGCTAAGGAAACAGACAGTGGTGACATTGAGTTCTTTATTGCTGTCAACCACCCTTAGGGGTTTTCCCACTAATTGCTTCTTTAATCCTGGATTTCCTGAGGCTCGAATACAATTCTTACTTCCGCACTAATCTTTAATTTGATAGGGGCTTGGTTACCAGCTGACTCTGGGCAACCAGTGGTGCTTGGGGCTTCACCAGACCAAAGGCAAGCTCTCCCTCCGTCTCCTAATGCCTCCGTCTGTGTCATTGACACACCGTAAGATCTACCGCTCTAAGTGCTGGGTTGCATGGCTTTCAGAGTTGTGTAAAACTTCGCCATAATAACTCCAACATAATAATGTTTTAGATCACTTCCTTCGCCCCAAAATAGTCCCCTGTGTCATTGCTTCCCCTTGCCACCCCCAGGCCAGGCCACCACTAATCTTTCTGTCTGTATAGAATTGTCTTTTCTGGTTATTTCCTACAAGTGGATTCATATCCTATATGACTTTTGTGACTGGCTTCTCTCCTCCAGCATAATGTGACCGTGTTACACAGATCACTAAAGGCTTCAGTCCCACTCACAGAACAGAGGGGCGGGTGGCTACCAGGGTCACGCGGTAGAAGTAACACGGACGGGTTGGTCAAGGACACACATTTTGAGTTTTAAGATCGACCCAGTGCACAGCATGGTGACTGTGGTTGATGCATTGGGCACTTGACAGTTGCTAAAGATCTTAAGTATCTTTACCATTTAACGTGCACACTCACACACACTCACCATACACAAACACAGGCTTTTGAAAAGTGCCTCATTCCTTTTCATGACCAGGTAGTATTCTATGATATAGATTCATCTCCTTTACTCACCAGCCAGTTGGGTGTCTGGTTTGTTTCTAGTTTTCTGGTATTACAAATCATGCCGTTACGAACATTCATACACAAGCCTTTGTGTGAACACGTTTTTACTTCTCTTGGGTAGATGATCAAGGAGTGGAGTTACTGGGTTATGTGGTTAAGTTTACATTTAACATATTTATTAATATGCAAACTATTTTTCAAAGTAGCTGTATCAATTTGTATTTCTGTCCTTCCCTCAGTTTTATCCACCTTCTTTTCTGAATAGTTCTCCCCCCTCCACAAGGTCTGATACAAGCTAGAAAGCCTGGTTTCCAAAACTATGGATTTCCACGCAGGAGGGGAAACCACACTGAGGATCCATGCCCTACCCCATCTCCCAAAAGGAAGCTTTCACAGATATTTTAGTAACTTGTTTTGAATCTTGTTACCTGACATACTAAAACCTAATTTTTGTTTGTTTTTTGAGACAGTCCAGGCTGGCTTCAAACTATGATCCTTCTGCTTTAGCCTCCTGAGTGCTGAGATTACAAGCATGCATCACCATGCCTGGCATAAAACATAATTTTTGCTTGCTCGACTCTTTGCCTACATTGCCTGTCTTCACAAGTTCATGTACCTCCCACAAGACCTGTTCATTGGAACCTGGTACAGAATCTTAGAGCTTTGAAAGAACCTTACAGAGCTGTCCAAATCTTTTAGTTTATATGGAAAATCTGAGGCCTGGAGCAGTGAGGTGACTGGCAAACGTGCCCTGTAGCCAGTAGGCTGAGGCTTAGCTCCCCTCCTGGAAGAAACCGCACTGTAACGGGGGTGGGGAGTATTGGAGAGACAGGAAGGGGGTCAGTCTGTGGTAGATTCCTGAATTCCAAGCCCAAACTTCAGGAAAGGAAGTTTTCGAGGTATGATGAGAAATTAACCAAACTAGTAGATTAGCACAATTCTAGTTTAATACTGGAGGGGCAAGATTGGAGTTAGAAGAGCGGTTGGAAGGCTGGCGCACAGTCAGTCTAAGTGCAAGGCAAGGAGGGAGGCAGGGCCCGGACTGAGGGGGTGGTGGAGTGTTGGCAGAAAGAAGCAGGGCAGAGAGAACCCCCCGTGTGCAGAGGCCTGGGGCCTGCAACAGTGGTCTCAGTAAGAGAGTGAGGGAGGTGGAGGGAGCGACCTCCTGCCAGTCAGGCTGCTGCACCCCTGCTGCTCTGTTCCAATATGGGCTTGAGCACACGCAAGCGTGTGACCTCGGGTGGAGGGCTTGGTGACTCAGCCTGGTTTCCTCATCTGTAAAATGGAGCAGTAACAGCTACGTCCGGGTCTCAGGGAGTATCAGTGTAGGGCATTTGGTACTCTGCCCAGCCATCAGTTGACCCTGCCTTGCTGGACCCCCTGTCCTGTGCTTTCCTCTCCCATCACGGGGGCTAGCTGGAAACAGCACTTCCAAAGGAACTGTTTCCAGCTGGATACTCCATGACTGAGGTTCTGTGTAAGGTGAGAGAAATTACGTTTTGGGGTTTGTGATAATGTTTTAAATTTACTGTATTGAAAATTTCTTAAAAGCTAACAGGTTTTAAAAATGCCATGTGTACACATTGGTCCATGTCTTGAATCAGTCATAGCCACAACGTCACACAGCTGCAATGTGTGGTTCTCAAATGCTGCTCCCGGGGCCACCATAGGCAGGCTGGGGCCGTCCTGGGAAAGGGGAGTGGGTACCCCGACTCTTTGACTACAACTGCCCCCTTTAAGCTCTCTTAAATACTGGAGTTTTTAGTAACAGAAATATGATTTGTCTCTCCCTCCTCCCTCTCTTCTTTTTATTTGTGGTCCTGGGGTTTGAACTCAGGGCTTGCTAGGCAGGCACTCTAACACTTGAGCCATTCCACCTCCCCCCACTTTTTTTTTGAGAGCCTCAACATGTTGCCTAGGCAACTCCTGGACTCAAGCCATCCTTCCATCTCAGTCTCCTGAGAGTTGGGATTATACATGTGTGCCACAACGCCTGGCCTGGCAAAATAGGATTTCATTTGAAGCAAAGGTTCTTTTTTTTTTTTTTTTTGAAAAACTTCTGTAACAGAAATTTTAATAAGAAGGCCACATTGATAATGACAACTTGCAAACCACCAATGATGAAAACAAACTTTTTGTAAAACTTCAAATTTTTTAATTGGCTAGACAAATTTATAAAAGTTTCTGAAAAATGAAGAAGAAAAAACCATCATAAGATACAAATACCATACCCTTTCCACAGTTGAATGGCATTATTTTGCATTTTTCTAACTAACAATAGTATAGATAGCAACATTCTAGAATAGTCTTTAGAAAGAATTGGGGAAATGCAAATCGATTCTCCGGCAAGCATTTCGTGCTTGTCCCTATCTGTTTAGGAAACAGTATTGCACAAAAGAACCACATTCCATGAAAAGTATGTTTGTTCTGGCTGAAACAGAATCATTTCCTGAGGAAAGCCTGATGAGATAAAGCACATTAGGAAATTCACAGTCACAGTCTGCAGGCGACTGAATGTCCAATGTCTACTGCTTCCTGAATTCCATGGAAGTGTTTGCAAAGTCACTTTTGCCACGTTGAGACTCCGCTGTTCAACTCAGATACGTGTTAATATTCCATGGCCTTTACTGCCAGGAGGTACCATACCATTACTCTCTGAATTTTAGTTAGACTTATTTTGAACGTACACTTGTGTATTTACAAAAGTGTTAGTTCTTAAGTGTGGGATTGAGAACAGAGCCCCTATGACCAGGCTGGCCACTTCTGAACTCTCCAACTTTTTCAGGTTACTTTACTTCTCCGTGCCTTGACTTCCTCAGCTGTAAAGTGGGAATGAGAACCGTGCCTCTCTCACCAGGCTGTGAAGACTGCAGGAGTCCATATCTGTATAAAGAGCTAGCACCTGGTGCACAGTAAGTGCTCACTAAATGTCAGCCACTGTTAGCCACTTGTTTTCCCAGTGCAGTTGTGGTATACTTCGTTTGGTTTAAATAAATAGTCTAGTTGATAAAAGGTTGCTTATGGGATGGGAGACAAAAGATTAGCACTCTTTACACAATCAGAGTGAAATGGAGTTGAAGATACTCAGGTGTTTTTTTTTCGACAGGGTCTTGCTATGTAGCCCAGACTGGCCTCAAATTCTCAATCCTCCTGCCTAGCCTCCCAAGTGCTGGGATTATAGGTGTGCACTGCCAGCTGTATACAATTCTCAATTTACAGACCCTGCTGGTCCCAGTCCACACTCTTGGGGCTGACAGCCTGAGACAGTGTCTCCTCTGTAAAGCACCTCTGCTTTACAGCTGAAGACTCTGAGGTCCAGCAGAAGAAGTGGCTTGCAGAGAGCACGCTGCAATGTGCACACAGCAGCCGGGTTGTGGTTGCTTCAGATGATACTGGAGACCCTTGGAGGGCTGCAGCAAAGTTTCCATTGTGGGCTTCAATCATCGTTGCTCTGGTAAGCCTGCTTCTGGAACATTCTACACCATTCAGAAAGACATGCCAAATAAAAGCATTTACAGATTCAGTACTGTCAATTATGTAAAGTAAATCTAGGAGCATAAATTCATTTTGCTTATAACCGAATGCTGTTATTTACTGTTTTTATAGAAAATGCTTCCCAATTGGGATGTTTCTGCTTTTTATTTTGTTCCAAATATCACTTGAAAGACATTCTTCAGTGAAAACAACTATAAAAATCATTCAAACGAATGAGAAATAGAGAAGCCTGCACCTTTGGAACAAGTTTTGCATCATGAGGCACACAGACAGGACACGCTGCGGATAATCGAAGTTTTATTTAAAAGTATAGAACACTTAAAAATAATGTAATGTGCTTGCATTTTTATGTGTAACTTAAAAAAAAATGCTTTTGACTATGCTTAAAACCATCAGATTTTACCCCAAAGTACGCTGTGCAGCCAGTCCCTAACTGCTTTACAAGCTTTGCTCTCACAGAGGACTGGGGCGGGAGGTAGGCTGCTGGTGTCCCTGCAGGCAGGTGGCTTTTTCCTACATGGTTTGACGGTATCTTTTCTTATTGTGGCTCTCAATCGCCCTTCTCAGTGCTTCATCCTGGACGAGGTCGGACATCCTCATATCTGTGTGACTACAGCCAATTTTAGGGCAACTGTGAGGGAAAAGAGCATCCAAGTCAGTCCACTTAACGGCAACGCCTTAAGCATAGACTTACTTCATGTTCAACAACACAAAAGTAAGTGTGAGAAATGAGACTTGTGTTCATTCATTGATTCACTGAGTGCCTGCCTGAGCACAGCCCAGTCCAGGGACTGGGGGACACAAGCAATTCACAAGCAGTGCCTACTTCCAGGAGAGACAGGTGGTCCGTAAGTAGCCAAATGAATGCTCCAAGTTTGGTTGTGATAAGGTTACAAAAGCAATGGAGATGGAGAGGGAGCACTGGGATGGAAGCATCTCTAACCTGAGCCAGGCAAGTCTCCCAAGGAGGTCTCCTGACTGGAGCCAAGAAGGGAGGGTGGAGACAGGTCTGTGAGTGGTCCAGGCTGCAGCAGCAAAATGTGCAGAAGCCAAGGAGGCCCAGCTGGGTGCAAGGGCTGGGTGGCTGAAGCAACCAGAGGTGAGGAGAAAACACTGGAGTCTTTTGAGATAAGTGAGGGAGGTCACTTGGTTTACATCTAGAAAACTACTCTGGCAGTTTAGTGGAGCACACAAGTGGTTGGGGTAGGAGTAGAGCAGAGAAAATAGTCTGGTGTCCCACAGAAGTCCAGGAGGGAATAAGGAAGTCTGCCAGGGGGTTGGCAGTAGTGACCAGCATCAGCACACACTTGAACATGGAGAACATGGGACATGCTGATGGAGTGCCAATGGAATGTGAAGGAAAGGGAAAGGCAAACAGATGGCGGCTGTGGAACACTGAAGTCCTGCCTGGTCCATCCATGGCCCTCTGAACACCCACTAGACCTCCCAGTGGAGACTATGACAGGGTTGCCTGTGGCTGAAGAAATAAGAGGAAGTCATCCAGAAAGGGGCAGAATTCTAGGCCATGTCAGTTAGACATGGTCTCCTCTGAAGGCAGTGGACTAGATGGAGTAACCTGACTTCTCACTGTGAACCAGATTTGGTAGAGTTGAGCACCCAGCGTTTGGAGTCAAGCTGACCTTGTTCTGGATTCTCTCTCGATCACCTACTTGTTCACTGAGCCTACAGCAGTTCACTTCCTGTTTCACCTCTGTTCCCTCTCATTTAAAATGGGGAGAGAATCTCTATTCTACAAGGTGACAGGCAAGAGAGGGCAACACAGTGCTCCATCATGTACGTTCCCTTCACTGTCTCCTGGGACGATCTCCTGTCCTTGTTCACCATTCTTCTAGGAAATTTTAAAGTTTCTGGTCTCTGTCTTGTATATATCAGCCCTGTGTTAGATCTAAACATACAACTTCAAGTACAAATACATGGTTCCTGCTCACACTGAGCTTGGCCCTCTGATCTGAGAGCAGCTCTTCCAAAAGCACAAGAATGACTAAAAATAACAAATACAAGAGAAAAGATACAGACCAGAAAGAGAAGAAAGTTAATCCTGCAAGCTCTAATTTATACAGTCATAGGAAGTCCAACAATAAAACATGAAAGAGAAAGTTTTTCTTTGCCCTGATCTCTGGATCTCTATAGCAGAGAGGTATTTGTCAATGCATTGAATAATACATTTGACAATAATAATTAATTTGAAATGCTGAGCTATGCCCTTCACAATCAGGCATAAAAGTCATACTTGTAGAAAGGCAATTGCAGGACCAGGCTGATGTGGTCCAGATACGCACTATTTGAATGACTTGGCTTTGCATGAGGGTAAGTCTTGATGAAAGCTTTACACTAGTTTAAAAATCTGTAAATTTCCCCCTAGCCTGCCCCCCTGTACTCTGAAGTCTCAAAGTGAATTACTTCTCTAAGTATGAGAGTAAATGGCTGGGATTATGAAAAGTGAACAGTTTAAAGACTTTAAAAAAAGTGATTTTCATCCTTCATTTCCCATGATGTGGAAATTCAGCTCCAAGTGGGTCGCTGGGATGAGCCTCTACTTCTCATGGGCAGGCCCCCTCTCTCAACTTCAATATTCAGACAGTGAATAAGCTGTGGACAGGGAAGTGGAAAGTGAGGTGGGGAGGACTTCCTGATGACATCAGTGGCTTTAGTCAGTAAGTGAGGGCATTCTGAGAATGGCTGAGGGAATTAACCACATTCATGCCAATGGGATGGAACCCAGGGAGATCTGTGTCAGAAAAAGAGGTCTGAGCTCACACAAGAGATAGACTCTCAGGACAGTGGCATGAATCAGATAGCCCTCTCAGGGGAGCTGGACGGCCTCATGACAAAAACACAGGCTCAAGAATGAAAAAGGGGGCCCGGCAGAGTGGCGTAAGTAGTAAAAGCACCTGCCTAGTAAGTATGAGGCCCTGAGTTCAAACTCCATGCCACCAAAAAAAAAAAAAAAAGACTTGGGCTCCTCAGTTCTTCCCTGCACACAGATGAACACAGGGTTGCTGTGAGAAAGCTAAGGGCTGAGGGCTGAGGGATGCACTCCAGGCCTACTGAGCACCAGGTGCTGCCCTAAAGCATGGCTCCTGCCCTCCACCAATGAGATGCCATTACTCTGGGTGCCAACATTGTGCCCGGCATGAGTGACATTCTGGGAAGACTTCCTGGAGGAGAGGCAGGCACAGGAACCAGGCAGGGCCTTGTTTCTCACCCTACCCCACCCCACCGAAACAAACTGAAAGAATAAGACAGGGCCATGTGCCAGAGGACTGAATGCAGGCACCATGCTTTGGAGAAACAACACTACATCAGCATTAGGTCCTAATCCCCATGACATCCTGGTGAGCAACTCAGGTGTGGCAACACCCAGCCTTCAGATCTCACATCATTGCTGGGCAGGACTCAGACTCACAGGCCTCGAAGGAGAGGTTGGTCCTGAGCCAGGGTCATCCACAGGACAGAGCATTCCTCAGCAGCATGAAGCAAGCACAAAAATGTCTGCTGAACCAAGGCCACTAGGCCTTGGGGTCCCACAGGGCTTGCAGGAACCTTGGCCTCAGCTCAATAGCACAGGATTCAGAGTCTTGTGAATTCTCGGATCCAGGTCCCAAGAATTCCAAGGTTCAGTCCACTAGCTCTAGGAAGGTGGTCTGTGCATGCCTCTGGTGGTGTGTGTGGGATGGATTCATGTCAAACCTACAAGTGGAGCGTAACTATCCTATATATAACCTCCAAGTCCAGAGTGGCATGTCACTAGGCAGTAGTGGCTCTCAGTGTCAGCCTCGGCTACCCTACAGCTGTGTACTCTACTTTGGACTCTAAAGAGAGCTTTCTCAGGTGCTGTGTTTCTCCCCGTCAAGAAACATGCTGCTTTAGACCGAGCAGGAACTCCCGATCGCCTCTGGGGTCCTGGAATTCTGAGGGCAATGCTGTCAACTCCACTTTACAGATGAACAAACAGGTCGAGAGGCTCAATGACTTGGCAAATGAATTCTGCTGTTGAACACACTTTCTATTCAGCTTAGTTTTACTTTACATGCTCTGAGATAGAATATTTGTTAAATACAGTTCCTGTTTGCCATCAAAAAAAGCAAAACAAGTGACTGTGGTAAAACTGTAAATATCTCGTGAATATGAAAATCACTAGACAGCTTTATTTGTAAGATAATAATCTTAAAATTAAGAGATCTATTTTAGGAAATTATTCTAACTACCACACGTAGGTGAGGTGAAAGTCTCAACAAGACTATTCTACCTCAAGCTGATGAGGCCTTCTCAGGATAGGAGCATGCCTGGAAAAGTGGACAGTGACCAGTAACACAATGTGCCTGTGACTCCAGTTTAACAAAGCATAACTGGGACAATCTAGGAGGAAGAAAACAGAGTTCTTGAATTGGATGTGTCATGGACATTTTTAAACAAAGGGAAGCCAGCACTTCTTATCACTCCACGGGAAATGACACTACTCTGTGCTGAGCTAGAAACCTCTGGAGTCAGTTGTGAGCAGGCCCCACATGGTCCTCCAGACCATGCCTGCTCTACCCCCTGGCTCCTCCTGTCTTCCAGCTGTGGTTTAGACTGCTTCCCTGGGTCCTCTTCCTCTCACTGATACTGTTGTTGAACAAAATGCTGGTTTTGAGGCTGACCTCAGACTGTGTCAGGTGCTTAGGGCATCTTGGTGAGCAGAGCACAGCTGGGCCCTAGTCTTGCTGGCTCTCCACTGGTGACTGCATTTCTCCAGATCTGTATCTCTGAGGGTGACAAGTGGCTTGACTCCCTTATACTGATAACTTCATAGTCAACATTGCCTGACAGCCCAGTCTTCTCCAGAGTTCCAAACCTACACTGGCTTATGGCTCTTCGGAAGGTCTGAATGGCTACAGTGAATCCTTAAACTTAGCATGACCTGAAGGAGCCTCTCACAACCCTTTCTAAACACGTTCTTCTCTTATGCCCTCTCTCTAGGTGGATAGCCAACAGTCATCCTAGTAGATGCTCACTGGAAATGGCAGTTTTTACCTCTTCCTCCTCCTATTTTCACTCAGTTGTCATGTCCTGTTAAGTGCACCTCCACACTCACTCTTGCCTTGGTCTATGTACTCAATCTCTAGAAGGTAATCTATAGCAAATGCATCCTAAGTGACCTTTGCACTGCAAGTCCTTTTAATCCAGCCTACGCATCACTTTTGGAGTAACCTCCTAAATTCCAGGTTGGCTCATCATGGCTCCCTAAACTCTGCAAGGTCTCCCATGTCTATAGAGTAATGTTGATGAGAACGGGGATGATGGTGGGTAAAGTTTGAAGATAGGGATGGGGTAATGTTTACTGAGTCTTACTGTGTGTGAGGTACTTAACTACGTTACATATGTCTTATTCAGATTTCAAATGTACTAATGAGGCAGTTACAACTATTATCATCATTTACAACTGAGGACGCTAATGAGACTTAGGCATTTAATGCCTTCCTGTTCCTATTATCTTCAGCGTCCTTCTAGTCTCCCTCTCGTACACAGTAATCACAACGGTACCTGCTTACCACCAACTGAAACAGGGCCGGATAGCGTGGGGCTCTTGCTAGAAGACTCTCCCTCACCATTCTCTGGTATCCTGCTTGCTGTTCAAGATCCAGTAAAAATGTTATCTTCTCTGTAAGCCTCCAGACTTCTTCCACTTAGACTTAGTTATTAGACTGAGAATTTGCAGAGAGCCAGACACCCAATGACAGTGTTACTCAAATTTTCTAAATGAGAAGCGGTACTCAGGTGCTTGTAAATACCATGTACAAATCAAAAAAGGCAAAGGACATTAGAAAGTTGAAGTGTGCACTTGACAAGAGCCATCTAAAGGGGAGTCTGCCACCCATGCCATCCTAGGACTGGTGGGAAGAACTGAGCTTGGTATCTGTCCTTACCCCTTCCAACTCTGACTCTAGGAGGACATCACACATCTTAAACAGGAAGAGTTGCCAAAGATAACTAACTAGGAATAATTCTTAGCAGTTATGCCTACATCTTTTGCTTGTCAGAGAAGGAACACAGAAAAAAGTTAGTAGAAAGGGACGACTTGGAAATCCAGAAACAAAGAAAAATATGATTACTGGGGAAAACTTCACTGGGGAAACATGCCATGTCTACTATACAGTGGAAATCAAAACAGATTAAAAATGTACTAATAGTCCATGTTTTGCATTATTCTTCTAGAATAAATATTATAAATCACTTGACTGAATGACCATGGAGATATCTGCTGTCTCAAATACCCTATCTCTAAGCCCACACCCACATGAGGAGGGGTGGGGAATTCCAGTTCTAGATCTGGACCGGCAAATTTCTGGGCAATGCAGAAGCAAACCACACATCAAAGGGACTGTTATCAGAAGCCAACTGAGAACTGGTCACACCTGCCATTCCATTCCTGGGACAAGTCTGTGATAAGTGCACAGGAGATGCCAAACTGAGTCAAAGTCAGAGTCAGCATAGCCCACTGAAGATTCTGTTCCTGTAGAGTCCTCTGGTTATGGGACAGGGGAGAGGGCAGAAGGGAAGATTCTGAGAAACTTCCAGTTCAAAAAAATTATCATTTATCAGTTATCCATGAATTTCCTGAAACCTTTTGGAAAGTTATTTAAGTAATTAAATATAAGAAAGCTTTTCTTTAACAATCAAATCTTCACAATCAAGATCACTGGATATGAATTCTTATCTCTAATGTTTACATATTTTAAAAATAAATGACCAGTATTGCAGGAAGCAAAAAAAAAAAAAAAAAAAAAAAGACCCCCTCCTTCTCGTTTGAGTAAATGTACATGTAAGGGGGGGAGGTGTTAGTATCACAGTTCTCAGGCTACCCTTTTTTTCCTTTAATCTTCCCACCTATGTTTCTTTATTCACAATACAGAGCAGGCACAGGGCCTGGGATGAGGTGTACATGGGGTAGGTTTACTTTCCCTCATCTTTCTATACAGTTAGTGTAAGAACACAGCCTGTGGGAATCACCAGGAGGCAGGCTGCACTTTTAACAGTACAAATTCATAAAATACTGCTACCTAATGATTAAAATTCAATCTAATTCTTTTCCTTCTGCTTTGAAGGTGTGGTGGAAATGCCTCTACCCTCTTCCTGAAAGACTGCTAATCCTTCCTAGGGGCTTCCTTGTTTCTAGCGCTGGGGGGCAGAGGGAGCTGCTTCTCCCCTGGCAGCATGCACCACCTGAGGCCACCAGGAGCCCCTAGCCCTCCAGCACTACTCACCAGGCCTTCTTCTTCCGCTTGTGTTTGGACTCGATCATGCGAACAATGGCTTCCTCTTCGTAGGTGTGACCACATACTTTGTTTTTTACTGGCTTCTTCATTTCCAGCTGTAATCAAGGAGACATTAAACTTTCAGGAATGATAACAATCAACTTCCAATGGCTGTTGTTCCTAGTCTCAGGCTATGTTTAACTTCCCATTCCCGTGGCATTACATAAATATTAGGTCTGAGATAAGGAGAAAGTGGCACTAATGTCACTTGGCCCATGGGCTATGACTTTATTCCTAGACCCTGAAGTGTAGAAAAGGTAGCTTTTTCTAGCCCCAAACCTCCCATGGATACTCTTCAATTTTCTTTTCTCCCTCTTCCCTCCAAGTGTGACATCAAATCAGAAAGCAAACAGGAACTTTTTGCCTCTGTGAAGTTCACTGCATTTTCTTCCAGGAAAAGGAGGGAGTGATACCTGTGTAATGGGGCAGATGAAGTTGGTCTGGCTCTGGGTCACAATCATGTCTTCATCAATCCCTAGTCCATCGGCCTCTTTGTCTACTTGCAGGCCATCTAGAGGAGAAGGGGAGTGGGTGAGCAGCGTGGTCCAGCATTGTACCAAAGAGAAGGGGGGGCAGGAAGGAGGCAGACAGTTCCTCCGGGTCTGTTTGGCATCATCCCCTGTGCTAGGCACTTGAATACTCTTAAGAGTAGGGTGGCCGATTTTGCCACCAGTTTTCTGGTTCATAGCAGTTAAAAAAAAAAAAAAGTCTTTTCAGTATTCAGAGGATTAATTCATGAGGGTATACTGCTTGGTCATCAAGAGCATGTCTTGGTGTCAGAGAACCTGGCTATTTTTCCCATGTCCAGCTAGAGGCCTTGGAAGAACAAGACATCCAGTTAAAGCCTCTACTTTATAGCTTTGGTGCAAAGATGGAAGCAGGTGAAGCACATGGCTTCTGGCTCAAGGGAACAATCAATCAATCAATGGTTTTTAATACTAGGTAGTGCAGGGGTTTTCAAACTTTTGGGGTGAAGATTTGAACCCTTTTGTCATAGTACTCAGATACTATGAAGAACCCCGAAGAACTTTTTTTTTCTCCCTAGACAGGGTCTTCATGTATAGCCTAGGCTGGCCTCAACCTCCCAAGTACTGGGATGACGGGGTGTGTCACATGCCCAGCTCCAAAGAACTTTTCAAGTGTGAGTTATATTAATCAGTATTTATCATGTTAAACATTAAGACTAAAGAAACATTTAAATGTATTTATTAATTCACTTTAGAAATAATAGTAACAATTTTATTACATGTTGACATAAATGATATTAAAAAGTTAAAATTATTTACATTTTCCATAATAAAAAATAGTAAGAAGAGTTGCATTGTTTCCCTTTTCGTAAATACCTTTTTTTGGTGGTATTGGGGTTTGAGCTCAGGGCTTCAAGCTTGTTAGGCAGGTGCTCTACTGCTTGAGCCATACCTCCAGCCCTTTTAAGGAAGAACTTTTTTTTTTTGGTACTGGGGTTTGAACTCAGGGCCTCACGTTTGCTAGATAGGGCTCTACCTCTTGAGCCAGGCCCCCAGCCTTCATTTTTGTGAATACCTTTAAGGTTTGGCTTAACACAAAGCAGCTGGATTTTGGTATCTGTGCATGTATTCAATCTGCCACAATATCACATGCCATTGAGCTTCTGGAGAAATTCATTCAAGGAAAGAATGAGTAAAAAAGGCAAATGGGGGCTGGGTGTGGGGTTCAAGTGATAGAATGCCTGCCTAGTGTGAAGCCCTGAGTTCAAACCCCAGTAATTTAGGAAAATATAACCAGACTTTTCATAGATGAGTAAACTGAGGCTCAGAGTAGATGTCTCTTACAAAATAATCTACTATGATTATTAAGTGGACAGATACAATCCAAAAATTTTGGGCTGGGATGTAGGCTAAGTGGTAGAGCACTTGCCTACTATGTGTGAGGCCTGGGTACAATCCCCAGCACCAAAAATGAAACAGACAAAAAAAGGAAAAAACATGCAAATGATATCATCTCATTATTGTGAAAATAGTCCCCACATGAAGGACACCCTCAGAGGCTCTTCGAAAACCTACAGGTCCCTGGCCCACACTTTTGAGAACTGCTGACCCATAAGCTTTGAACACAGCACTGTCTGCTTCCGAAATTCTTGTTTTCCCTTACTGAGAAAAAAGCAGATGACATGACTTTTTTTTTTTTTTTTGGTGGTATTGGGGAGTTTGAATTCAGGGCCTCATGTTTGCTAGGCAGGCGTTCTACTGCTTGAGCCACACCCCCAGCCTGATAGATGACATTCCCCCCCCCTTTTTCTTAAATTATCATCTTGCTGTTGTACTAGGGGTATGCTGTGACTTTACAAAAGTTCTTACAATACATCATGGTTAAATTCACCCCCTCCATCACTCTCCTTTATCCCCTGTCCCCCATTCCTAGAGTAGCTTCAACGGGTCTCATTTTTCCATTTTCATACAATAGACGACTGTAGAATGGGATGAGGGGAGTGAGTTTCTCACAGAAAAGCCTTTCTTTCTGAAGAAGGGGCACAGGTTGAGCACTTCTGATCTGAAAATCTGAAATCCAAAATACTTCAAAATTCAGAAGTTTTTAAGTACCAATTATGGAAATCACAAGTGAAAAACTCCACTGTGAAACTGCTTCATACGTAAAATTATTTAAGATATTGTATAAAATGACCTTCAGGCTATGTGTGGAAGTTGTATATGGAACACAAATTAATTTTCTGTTTGGACTTAGAGCCTATTCCTAAGATGTCTCATTATATACATGTAAATACTAAAAAACTGCCAAATCTGAAACACTTCTGGTCCCAAGCATTTTGGACAAGGGATATTATATCAATCTGTACTGTCATTTGTAGATGATGTGTTCCTTCCTCCTCTTGCCCCTCCCTTTTCCTTCCTTTCTTTTTCTTTCTTCTCTCATTTGGCAGAATAATATGGATATAAAATGTGTTTCGAGGGAAATTCTTGACTCTGTGCCAGATGATTTTATAACTCTTTCAGTTCCATAGAACTGACTTTGGACCAGTACTTAGGTCAGATGGAGGGTCTGTCTGAGAAGGAACTACCTGAGGGGCAGGAAAAGGACTTGGAGAGCTGTTCAAGGTTGTGAATTAGAGGCTGGAAGTTGGGGATTATGCTCCCAATTACTCTGCCTTTTGTAGAGAGTGCCCTTTCTTTCTGTAGAGCAATGCTATTTATTTGTATGCCAGCTTTTTGTCCCCCAAACCAGCTCTCAGTCCTTGAAGAAGGTGAGGATGAAGACCTCAGAATTTAGGATTTCCCAGGCAGAGAATTTTTAACCTCTGAGCATTAAGGTGCAATGCCTGGGGACTTCCACCTGTTCAGGGACAGATAAAAATATCTGAGACCTTGGAAACCATTTACAGGTTTCAGCAACCCTAATCCCAAAATCTGAAACCTAAGACCTTTTGAACCCCAACATGATCTGCTTAAAAAGTTTCAGATTTTGGAACACTTGGATTTCAGATTTCTAGATTAGGGATGCTCAACTGGTATAGTCTATTCAAATAGTCTAAGATCTGAAATGAGGCCCAAGCATTTCAGATAAGGGATACTTAGTAATTTACTGAAAAAAGATAACTATTAAATTGAAATTAATAAATATCACAGGTCTATAAAATGTAACATCCAATTAATTTCATTAAATGTTGATTTGTTAATTAAAATATTTCATTTGAAATCAGTGTGTCAGCTGGGTTCATTATTTAGGCGAACAGAATTTCCTAAGTATAAAAGTAAAATAATTGCTGAGAAACTAATAGCCAATTATAAATTAAATTAGTTATTTATAGTCAACTTATTTCCAAAGCAAAATTGTAAAAATATTAAAGAAAATTGTCAGCAATATAATTATATTGAACATGGAATGTGCCATATTTTAGAATGTTTGCCATGGTGTGGCTTGGGGGGGGTCTCTGGAAATAGCGCTGACACCTATGAAGGGGTTTCATGCTTCCCAGGTTCTGTGGTTGACACTCACAGTGCAAGACTCAGACTCCTAAAAGAGTTCTTTTATCAACCTAATGGCTCAGGAAAGTTGAACAGGCAAGGAAAAAAGCCAAGGAGCAGGCCGGGAGCCATGCTGTCTCTCAGATTCACATTCTTTCTGTGGGCTGCTACCTCCTATTTCTGCTTATGTGCTTGACAGTCAGAGTAAAAGTAACTCTTTGTTAATTTCTTATAGGGTTTATTCTGAACTTACAGCAGCTTTCTGACTATAAATATTAAACTGTGGAATTTACCAGAAAATCTGTTAGAGTGTAAGTGAGTTCAGCCCACGTGAAAGACTGTGGGTTTGTTGGTTATTTTCTATTTTTAAATTTCAAAAGGTAGAGGAAGCAAGAAAGCACAACTCAGATGCAGCGAACCACTAGAGAAGCCTGAGTGGGGAACTGTGAGATGGCAGAGATCATGAAAGAAGAAGGTAACAAAACAGACGGGGACAATGGCCAACAGTGAGTAATAGTCCGTAGACCGAGTCTAAACAAAGAAAGATTTCAATAGCTAAACTTCTCTAGAGACAGAACATTTCCTCACCCTAAATCTGTATTTCTAGAAAGTGACATTAATGTTGGGATTCTACGACATGCTAACAAAAGGTCACATCTGGCAATAAATATCACTTACAGTGATTAATTTAACTTAAAGACAAAACTTTGTGATAAGCTTGGTAAAAGGAAGGCTGGAGAGAAAAATATGGATCATCTTCTAGAGTCACAGAAGTTTTAAGACTAAGGTTATTTGTTAGAGGACTCTCCTTTACCTGAGAAAACTGAGATTCAAAGACATTCTAGGTTTTGCCAAGGTATAATGTAAGCATATACAGAAATGTCACAATGAATCCCTCCATACAACTAATAAAGAATAATAAAGAAAAAAAGGAAAAAAGAAATTGTAGGTTTTGTTCAAAGTCATGCAAGGTATTTAATGTATCAGTGTGCTGCTCTCTATTATTGGGCTAGTTCATTCAAACACTAAAATCAGTGTGCTGGTTCTAGGAGTTCCCCCAACCCCCAAATTATTATCTCATCAATACTAATAATACCTCAAGTTTATTGGAGGCTATATAGCAGCTGCTGTGCTAAGCACTTTATATCCATCATTTAATCTTCACAAAACACTGATGAAGAATTATATTGTTATTCCCATTGTAAAGGCAAGAAAATATAAACTTTATAATATTTCTAAGGCAAATGTAGAAAATAGCCTTTTAATAATCAAATGGATTAAACCAATTGAATTGTCATTAAAGAGGTCACAAAAATTTTTCTGACCATCAGTAGATAAATAAGCAAAGTAGTCATGTTATTTTCTGTATTCAGACCCCCTTCCTCCACATACCTGGGTTCTACATTCATGGATTAAACCAGCCTTATATTGAAAATATTTTTTTTAATTTTATTATTCATATGTGCACACAAGGCTTGGGTCATTTCTCCCCCCTGCCCCCACCTCCTCCCTTACCACCTACTCCGCCCCCTCCCTCTCCCCCCCACCCCCT